CAATATATTTTTCTTTCGTTTATTCACTATAATTTCAATGTATGTTTTAGCTCGGAACGAGATCCACCAATCATTTGACATGATTCTTTTAACAGATTTGATGCTTCGTACCTCGAGTGTGAGTGTATAAATAAACATTTGTAAAGTAGCCTGAGATTATACAACATATTCCAACTGAAGTGAAAGTAAGGAAAATAGTGATAGCCTAGCAAAACGACGGAAAAGAACCAAACATTCACAATATAATGAAAACCACTGACTGATGACTCTGACTCAACATGATTTTTCCAAGATGAATGATGAAAGAGACAGTTAATTAAGACTACGTTCATAACGTAGCAGTGTTAAAATTGTTACAAACTTCTGTCAAATGGCTACCTAGATCAAGCGAAGTCCGTATTAATGTAGTCTTGGTTTTGATAAAGGGTTTCTATATAATATTTTTTTTACAAATATTTTCGTAATCCCGTTTATCGGATTTGGAAAGTACGGTGTAAAGCAGTTATTAGAATCCACCATCGTCCAATAACGCATCGATTTGGAAACGAGGGAAGCCATTAAAATGTTGACCGCTCCGATCTGATAAAACGGAACATCCCCGTCTCTACCTTCTACAAACATCGTTAGCCGATGTCCAACGCTTTACAAGGCGCGTTTATGATTCTAGATTATCACATTGTTAAGTCGTTATGTCAATTTGAAAACACAGTTAGATGGATAGTTGTGTGAAAAAAATGTTTTTCTAGTCTTTATTACTATTTTTCTATAAACGTACAAACACTGCGCAAACCGTAGTTAAAGATGTTAACTCAACCCTACTTAATATCAACTTGCAAAACACACAATGGATACATAATATGTGAAAGATTTAGATAGTTAAACATTTTTAGGTATCTTTGTCTTTGACAAAAGATTTTTAGGAGAATTATTTTTAGTTCAGTCAAGTATTTATCTTCTGGGTAAAAGATGTGTACACATCTCTACGCTATAATATAAATTTCAATACTTATCAAGACAGATGATTGTGTACACAAATTATAATTTGAAGTTATTGATTCTTAATTGCCACACCTGATATAAAAAATGAATAACTGTCTCAGTCAATATTTGAGAGTGTTAAATATTTCAGTAGACTTCCTCAATAGATTAAACCGGAATAGGACATCATGATCCTTACATACAGCTAACATCTATCATATCGAACCTTTTTACATATCAACGTTACCTCAATACAGTATATTATTTTGATTAAAATTTATCAAGATAATAAACATTTTAAATTTAAATTTTCATTTCCATTAAGAACGACTGGTTATCTTCCTACAATAAACGATTTATCTTCATTTAGGCTATATCTATGTTTTATTTATCTTCTTGGCAAAAGATAAAAAACATTTATTCGAAAAATGATTTCACCGATATAGCAAATGAATACAAACAATTGTTTTGTAGTAAAGATATTCTATGTACGTTTAAATGTCACTCGACGGCTAATATCAATTTGAAAACACAGCAAGATGGGTAGTTGTGTAGAAAAATGACCGTTCTAAAGAGTTTTCATTGCCATTGATTGAAAAATTACGAAATATGCCTTTAAACACTTTAAAATCTTTTGGACACTGTATGGATTTAAGATAATTGAACTACTTAAGATGAATGTTTACTTGTGGACTTGCACGTTCCTATGTTATTTTATATACAGTATTTTATATTAAGTATATAGATTAAAACTGTTATTAGATAACTCAGCGAAGACGTTATGTGGTGTGAGGGCTTCATTTACTAATAACTTCTTAACAGTTCGAGAAAAAGTGTTGATCAGTAACATCGAGCAAATCAATTAATTACTTAAAATATTTGTTTAATTATAATGTTTGTGCAGTATTAAGCTAGTACATTTTTTGTTTATAAAGTTAATCAACGAAACGCTAACAATTAAAACAATTATGTAATTTTCCTTAGTATGAGTGTTTGACACAAAACCATAAGGAGAAACCAGATCTAAAATTGGTTAATCTTTTGGATTAACTGGTTTAAAAGAATTGTTTAAACCTCATCTGTAATATAATAAAGTTTCCAATAAAAGTTTTTAAATTAATAATCTAATAAAATCTTATTAGAAAAAGGATCTGCAAACTAAACTCGGTCACTGGTAAGTGATGAGATTTGCAGAGCTAAGCAATAGTTTGAGAAATCAATGATGAGGGAGGGTGAACATCTTAACAGCTGGGGGCCTTAGATTTGAGGGATACTAGACACGTCCGATTTTTCATACTATCGTAACCTTCAATAACACTAAAGTACGCTTTTCGTCAATCAGTAAAAATAGAGGCTGATTATTTCCAAGCTATTTGCTTTATTGAAGTAGTTGACATTATTATTTTACAAAGGTTTATTATCAATTTACCACTAAGCATTATTATTAACCGTATATCCAAATAGGAACTGCCTATTTAGTATTGGGACTAACAATGAAAATTCAGAATTAATTATTTATAACTGATATTTCTGAGTTGAATATATGCTATCAAAATGATATTGCCAATAAAGTATTATGCTATTAAAATGTTAAATGTTTAATTGATATAATGCATTGAGGTGTTATTGGATCAATTCGTTTTATATTGGTATTTGGTACAAACTAGTATTTAACAAAGTACGAACATATTTATTCAATTTTGAACAGTTTTACCAGATATTTAGAATGAAATAACTATCCATTAATCTTAATACAGTATGTGTGTATTGTAATACAGTAGTTCAAAAACTTAATAGGAACTAGTGATTCCTTAAATATTTTAGGTCAAACTATCAATAAAGTATATACAAGGAAGTGTTAATTTACTTCAAACAGATATACAGTCACACACGCCATGACTATCCATGACAACATGCTCATTGTAGATGTAAACATAATCTATCTTCTTTGGTTCTGTAGTCAAATGCAACAATTACAGGTCTATGCATCTGATAAATTCTGCTTTTTATTTTACTTCTTGTTGTCATTTATTAAAAAACAATCTGATTCTAAGAAGGGAAGTAAATGTTCAATTTGTCGAAAAGTTAAAGTTTTGATATTTTAAACATCACTAATGTTAACGACCATTTAACAACCGACAAGTGACTTGGATTGAAGTATATAACACAATTGTGTTATATATTTGGATGGTGACTTGACAGATAGTCAGTTTATCCAACACAATATAAATTAAAATTCCTACAATTTGAGCCTAATATAATAAGGAATTGCGGTATTTAATAGTTACGAAATTACTACAAAAACTCAACATGTGAAGAATTAAAATTTTTCATTGGGCTAGTTGCTTATATTCCAGTACGATTAATTCTATTTTTTTAATTCATCAACCTAATTAATGAGTGAATGAATGACTGTATGCTTCTTTGTTGATCTGACGGGGAAAAGAAGCAACTGTTTTTTTCTAGTAATAAATAAGTATTTAAAAATAATTGTAAAAATCATTGTGTGAATCCTCCTATATATTATCGTACTCTTTTGATAGAGCTAATGTGGAACAAAATTCTTGTATGATATAAGTTACCGGTCAAGTATATTTAGGAGGCATATTTCGTTATAAAATGCTACCTAATTCGAATGCTTTAATCTTGCATTATATACATTGACTAAAATGTATCAGCCAACGTATGTAATAAAGAGCATTCTATACTTTGCCTATTCATTTTATAGAATGCCCGTTGCCATTACTGGTAAAGTATAGAAGTATAGAATAAGCTGTTTTGGGATTTTTAGACTTATGTTTCCTTATTTGGCATCAACCAATCCATCCAAAATAAACAAACCTAAACTAACCTAACCATATACAAAACATTGCATCATTCTAAAAGAACTCCTTTTGACTTTTGTTATTTTCTTTTGAATAAGCTAATCTAATATTAAATAAATTGGGGAGCGAGCTGGCGTAGTGGTTAGAGCGCGGGACTCCAGTCCCTGAGGTCCCGGGTTCGATCCCCGCCAAGTCACCAATGGATTTTATCTAAGTGATAATGCCGCAACCCCTAGGTCTAGCTTGAAGTAATGTGAAAAACAATCCCAGGCTCGTGCCTAGCGTCCTTAGGACAAAAAAATAATATTAAATAAATTAACCTTAGCTTAAAAACTCAACGCTAAACTTATAAAAAATTAATACTTACTTGCTTACTTACTTTTTTTTGTTATTCCTTACTGACTTGTTAATACTTTGTAAATAGTATCTTTGTTGGACTTTGCCTGACGCACCTGTGCTCATTTTATGGAAAGAATAGATATCATACACAATGTCTAGTCAAAGTGTATTAAATACTATGGCTGTTGATAAATTTCATACTCTTTAGACAATGTATATAGAATGTCTGCGTCATATAGGCCTACATTCCCGGTAACATATATTTATTTTATGTTTTTAATCAAACGTTGGTTTGTCCTATGTTTTCTTGTTGTTAAAACACACACCTTGTTTTGTTCATAAATTAATAGATCCACATAAAAAAGTTCGTTTTTGTTATTCATCTCTGCTATATTGTTTGCACCTCGCAATGTTTTCTGACTTTTTAGACTTTTGAAATGGAATAATAAGTGGAATTTAATACATTTTCACGATCGATTTTGATTCAGAAAATAATCATTAGCTTTGAAATACAAAAAAAAAACTAACCTAAAATATTTATCACATTTGTCATAACGTTGTTTTAACGTTAACGTTGTTTTGTGTTGTTTTAAGTTAGATCAACAAAAACGTTTTGACCTTTTCTTGTAATAACCATATAAGTTCTGAGTCTAGATAATATATTTTAACAACAAACAAACTAAAATAAATAACCACACTCACATATCCTCTGTAGGTTTATATTCCAAAATTCTATCCAATCTGTTAGAACAAAGGATAAGTCAACTAGCAACAATTTATTACAGGACAAGACATGGTAAAGGACACAACTGTAGTAATACTTAATAATATTTAATTGTTTATTTAAATTAGGTACACGACAACGCACACGTAACTGTATACAAATAAGTTGTCACAGGACATGGATATATTACAGGTGGGTTGGTCCAGCGAGCGAACTCTAGATCGCTTCCCAGGTCGCCGGTAAAAAATATCATACAATATACAATTAATTGCAACATATCACTAAATAATATCATAAAATGTCATTGAACATTTACAAGATCAGTATAATATGGTGTTATCTCTGACAAAAATATAAAGACATTTATCTCTAATTTTAATGTTTAAGTATTGCTGATATTGGCAATTGGTAGTACAACCATTTTACAAAAAAAAAGTAAAAATATTTATGTTTTGACTATTTGGAATCACAATTTCGGTCAAATTAGATGCCAATAACAATTTGATTATGTTTTCTAACTGTTGAAAGAAATTATAACATACACGAGTCTCTAGAACACACATTATGTTATTAGCCTAAAGACAATAAAATTAAGACATTTGGTGTCTAGTACAAAAAGACATAAGTTTACATTGATGTAAAGTTGATATTCAAACAGAATAATTTAATGTGTCACGTATACATAGTCTTCTCATGTCACAATTTACAAAACCAAAATAAAATATCTCATCATGAAACAATAACAAATCCTCAATTTACCAGTGTCTTGAGAGGCGACCTAGAATTTAGAAGTACCCAATTCTTATAATTATGCAAAAGTAATCAAAATATAATTTACAATTTTTACATTAAATAACACTTTAAATTATCTTTCACTATTTGTACAATAACAAAATTTAAAACATTGCACTCCTTAACACAAACGTGTTTAATATAGCGATCGAGACGAGCGTTTTAATAAATAAAAACCGCACTGTACAGTCTATAACGGCAGTCTAATATACAATATATACACGAGACAGTCTTGAGAACGCCATCTCGATCTCGGGGTGGTTTTGTACTTAACCGAAATCTATCACGGAACAACCTGCGTATTTACAGTATCAATGCCGTAAACAAAATGAATGTGGATATGGAGAGTTGTAGGACATTGGTGAGTAAGTTTGTGATTTTGATGATTGGAATCTCTGTCAGATCACAGCGATTGGTTTCAGAATTCATAAAAAATAGGATAGAGTTTCAAGTCCACTCTGGAGACAAATCGTAAAAATGGTTTTTTAGAGGTTTGCAGTCTCTTTTAACTTTCTTTTTTCCGATATGGGACCCGAAATTTATGTGTGTGGATCGTATGAAAGGAGTGAGAAGAGCAAACGGTGAAACGCCAAAGCTACGATATCACCTACCCTGATCCGATTGATAACCAAACCACGATATATATCAAGACTTGACAATTATTTTGTAATAAAGCCACTTTTGTGTTTTGTAACGCTGCGTTACAAATATATTATGCGTCACTAATATATTTTTGAGGGGTTATGCAAACTGACATTGTCTTTCAAGCACTGGTTGTTACAATAAAAACTTATCGAGTGCAGTTTGAGATCGTAATGTATTGACAACTAAACTCGTATTTCATAACAAACCCACCAAGTCCACAACACCCTATCCTCCACACATGTGGCTATGTACAAGGTCAATTTACAAGTGCTCGACTTGGCCGGTTAAAGCTCGACTCGGGACAAAATCAAATAGGAATCTGTAAAAAAGTGGGTTATAGCTAAAGGCAAGGGAGACAGATAACACAGATAAATCTATCAGTCTGCTAGACTGGCTACAGCGGACACTCACGAAATAATATCTCTTAAACTAGGACTAGACTGGAGAGCGGAGGAGTGAGAGCGGTGGCGACTCGGTCGGCACATCAGGTGTATTCAGATCTCCAACTGGGCTGAAACAAGAGAAGAATTGGTCAGACGGTGGTACAGTAGTGTATAAATATAAATAAACTCATGGAAAGCCTACCAGCTGGAAAGTCTAGTGAATCTCAGTTTGAAAATGCTCTGAAGAAAAAAAACTAGTTAAAAACAGGGTGGTTATACATTACAGGCAAAAATAACGATTTTGTTGGAGGAAAGGAAAAAGTATTTTATCACTTGGGCTAAGAACGCCTATTTTCGACACAAGCCCAAGTTAAACGACCAAGGTAAAGACTAAATTGGAAAATAACCAAGGATGGAAATTAAACTGTTGCATATGTGATCAAATACATTTTTCCTCATACTGCACAATCTTTTAAGGTATCCAAATCACAGAATGATAATGACAAAATACTCTAGAGGTCGATAAGGGGTGAATTTTGATTTTATTGTAGAGAAACATTCAGTAAATTGTTGCACAATAGCAAACAAAAGAATATTTTGATAATAATCCAATATTATTTTTATCAATAGGGACTATTTTCTTCGCAAAACCAGCGGACAGAGCTTTAAGTCAGAAAAATTTACAGATGATGCACTGTAACAAGGCCGCACTAGATATACTGTAACCATTGAGTATAAACCTAACTTAGGTTTAGGTTTAGGTTTAGGTTTAGGAGTTAGGTTTATACTCAATGCTGTAACCAACGAACGAAAGATTCGTTTTAATTTTTTATAGGTAACAGTAGTGTGAGACTCCTGTTGAGCAGACAACTTCAAAGTTGCTTTTAATATTTCTAGCCATATAATACTATAGTGTGAACAAATGTTGAGAATTTTTGAGATCCTAAGTTGGCACCACTGACGGAAGTACAGACCAACGATATAAACGTACAGACAGGTGATTGATGGCGGGAATGTGTCGTGAAACAAGGGACGTGGGCGTGCCGGGTTAACAAGGTTATGTCGACATAAATCCATTAGCAAGTGTTATTAATTGTAAGTTTCGACAACTCCAAGGCTTGGCAATCTTCAATTATTTGCGTAATCAACACTTTGGAACCATTGGAAAACATTCTTTAGCATTGTATATTTTGATACCCATTAGTATGTGTTACTGTAATCGTACTTGGTGTGGTTTATTCTAATCGTAAAAAATGTTATGTTTTCATCTGTTGTCAAAAAGAATTGGCTCGAAGTTTTCTTTCGGGACCTTAAATGCACTTTCCGAATTGGGTGAGTATTTAGATTTATTTCAGTTAACGTTTCGCAATCCTACACATAATGTAGTAGTCCTTTTAATTATTTGGCAGTGGGAGTGTATATAAAATACAATTGACTCAGGAGTTCGTAATAGTACTTGATAAAATAGAAGGGACTGAATTTTGCATTTACACGATCACTTTTAAAACGAATAATTAGGAACAGTCCGCCATGTCCAGTTACATGTTCCTAACAGTTGGACCAGCTGTTATTTATGTGGGAAACGGAAAGAATAGCAGTTGTATCAGTGTTCAGCGGGAACGAGTTTTCGAACAAATGTCTCGGAAGTGTTCGGGATTGATGTGTTGGGATCTGGTGGCGTAGTGGGCGATGTCGCGTAGGTCTCTCCCCCACTACAGCTGTTTAATACCTTGTCCAGTCACTGCTGCTTGGATATGTTAATTGTCAGAGCAACTAACTTGCCACACAATCCGATTGGAAAGTAAATAAGGTGTGAGTAATGGGTCAGGTCCTCTACCTACTTACTTCAACTTGGTATGCCAAATAGGTGTATAGGAGGAAAGTTGCTGCAGGTAAACAAGTTTTCACGAGTGATTAAAATTAAGTGTTTTAAGTGTAGCATTCGTTCTGAATCATACATCCAATTTTCACCAGCTATAGCTAGATTTTTTTTAAATTAATCCTTCAATAAGCATTTCGCCAAATGTATGACTCTGAATCAGGTTTTTCTCGCCAATTGAAATTTGGGTGATTTATGTGGCAAAAGATCTTACAGTGTACAATAATTGTGCTAATACGTGTACAATTGTACTTTGGTTTCACACGATTTAAAAGTTGGTAACAAAATTGGTACCAACGTCATCAGATTGTAGGAGGCTCAATCTCAATCCACCCAGGGCTAGAGATATACATATACTGTATGTATATCTCTAGCCCTGCAATCCAACTACGTTCTCGCTTGTATACTCATTGTCTTCTGGATATCTACAATAGAGGCTGCCAACTATGGTGCGGATTCTGCTGCTCAACTCACCTACTCCTTTATTGACTCACACTACCATCACCGTCGGTCCATTAGGATAGAATGCATTTAGTAAAAATATATTCAATGGTTAGTCAACAAGATATCTCTCTTGTAAGAACAACCGTAAAATATTGTATTATTTAAGACCTCTTTTTGACTGGCTGCAACTTAAATCCTTCAACGGCACGTATACACCATGATATTCTACCCATTTCCAAGGCCAAAGAAACTAGGAATATTACTTGTTTGCAGTGAGTAACTCATGTACAACTGACTCCCTAGTCGCATTTTACACTCACCATTCCGTTGGACGTCCCCGGAAAGCCGAAGCTGGTGAAGGTGGCCATGTGATGATGATGGTGCATTCCCGGAGGCGGCGCAGCTGGGCCCGGGGGCTGCGGCGACCCGAAGTGCGCCTGAGGGTGGATGTTACTATGCGGATACATGTAGTGACTCATGTGATGGCTGTTAAAGGCGTGAGGCGAGCTGAAGCCAGCCCCCTTGGATCCCATCCCGTCCCCTTGGAAAGGTTTCATCATGTCCCCCATGACCCCTGTCAGTGCTAAGCAGGAACCTGGCAAACTCCCGCCTTTTTTCTTCTTCGACTTTGACGACAATTTTCGATTCCTCGTCTGTATCCCTTCCTTCTTCATCGTCAGCGGCCTGTTAACCTGGAACAAAATGCATACGTAAATGTGGTGCTTTAAATATTTGAAAATCTAATGAGTCATGGTTTTCAGATTGTTTGAAATTGTTTAGTAAACATTCAACTACGGAATACGATTTCAGATTCTTTCCAAGTAGATGAATATGCCAATGTTATCATTATACTGATTAAGGTGCATCATTATGAAAAAGTGTAGACTAAGATGGGTTTATACAAGATTTTTTAACACAAAGGGTTAGTCGCTTAAAATTTTAAAACACCATAAACTAGCATGCTAACTTATGTGTTGGAATATTGGCATTGATCTTGCATTTACTGTATCCTATTTTATCGAAGTATTTACAGTTGTGTTTAAAATATTGAATAAAGTAATTTCCTCTATCCTCTAATTTGTAAACCTTGATGAAAATCGAAGCAACAAAACTGCTCAAAAACTTCTTAATTTACTAAATCATTGGTAATTGCAGCTCATACTCTATTGTATTACGACGATGAGAAACAATCTGAAAAAAGAGCTTTTATTGAGTTTTTACCAAGTATTCTATCGTACCCTTAATTTTAAACTACCGGAAGCATACAATAAACTAAAAAAACTTTTTGTACATTAAAATTTAAACCTTAAGCGCTTCCAATTCATCAATATTCCCCAAACATAACCTCAACTTGTCGAGTTGACAAATGAAAGTCACTAAGTGCCCAAACCTCACAACTTTCATCCGCAAGAAAGGCCCGTTGTTTGAACAGTTAATCGCAACAAGACCCATTGTACTGCTGGCTGCCCACACTGTTAACCCTGACATGATAGGTAATTATTAATTAAACAGACGCGTCTCTGGCACGGCGGGTGATTCCACCCCAATCTGCGTCCATTGTAACACCCTGCGGGACGCCTAACTCACATCGCATATTGTTTTTGTTTTCAATTTAGTTTAAACGCTGGACGTGTATTAATGATAAGACCCGGTTGTGGGTGGCTCGCCGAAATGAGCTGACTTAACCTTGTGTGCTGTACCGGTTGTGCTAGAGAACTTTAAACCTATTTGTTAAACTCACTAATTTGCATTTATTTTGTTACTGTTGGTAGAACACATGGATGTAGTCAAACAGGGGATTAGAAACGTGGAATGAGAGACTACAAATGTGAAACAGGGGAGATAGGACGTGGAAAAAAGTATAATGGGCATGAAACAAGTATAACCTATATCATGCTGTAAATTAAAATAAGATCCATCTTTCAACCAATTGAAAATCCATATTAGGTTAAAAAAATATGAGTAAGGAGACATGATGAGATTTCCTATGCAAAAATTCCAATGTTAAATCATAAACGTAACAAAAACCTAAAACCAGCGAAAATGTTTGTATGTACAGTACTTAAAAACGTCGAAGCAGACGAGAGACATTCATTGGCTTACTTTGCTGACCATCAATTTCAACCATCTCATCATTATTGCAATTAATAACGAAAACAAAAATATGACAAATACATTCAAAATAAACAAAAAGATTCCTTAAAAAGCTTTCAATTAAAAATGTTACAAAGTGAACATTACTTTTTTCATTGTCCTTGGAATGTCTAGTAGAGTCAATGACATTCCGACCTTCTTCAATGGAGCTTTTGTTTTAGCACTACCTTTTGGCATTTTGACGAGATGGAGACACAAAAGCCTGGGACAGACAGACACGCCTAGTGGCGCACCCAGACGGAGGGTGTCGTCGTAGTCTGGACACTAGACACAAGCGTCGTTCTGTTATAGCGGAAACACGAGTCGCCGGGCAGACAGCTTGTAACAGCCTATTTCACTTTTTATACGGTCACTCCTAAAATCCCGAATTCTTTTCGAATGAGAGGGTCAATCGAGCTGAAAGCTAATCCTCTCCACCAGTAATGCAGTTAGATGGGCAAAACCAAAGTATGGTTAAATATTTTGAAATTAGATGTTGTCTCCTATACAATTCATATCAATTAAGTGTATGTATTTTAGATTCAGAACACTATTACAAAAAAGCTTGAGTAATAATGAAATAGTATGTGAGTAGTATCAACGAAAAGGATATTTCTGGTCTTCATTTCTGATCTTCCAGGACTGTCTGATGTTCAAGGATTGTATAATGTTTACAATTTGCATTTTGTAAGGGTTGCCTTCTCTTTGGCTCAAAATATCCATCTTGGAAACCTAACATTGATTATAAATAAAAAAATATCTGATGAAACCAGATTTGAGAATATTTTGGTATCTTCAGACTTTTTATTTGTTTAACAGCTGCCTTTTTTATTTTTCTCAATATCAATTCGGAAAAAAATGTTTGCTTCCTGTAGAACTACAGTAACGTGTAATTTGAAAAATCAATCTCGTGGATTTGAAAGTTTAAAGCAAGATATATCGAATCTTAATGGATTGACTGATCTTGAGGGATAAGCTGATCTTACGAGTTCAAACAGCTGCTTGAACTCATTGAACTCAAAGGGTTGTTGAAGGATGAACACTACAACGTTCCCATGCACACCTAATGAGCCGTGGTAGACCGCAAGGGTTGCGGCTAGACAAATATTAGCTCGCCGTTAAGCCGCAGATTTAATTGTGGGCAAAAAGAGCAATTTGTCAGAGGAGAAGTCTCGGCCCATCTGTCGACTGTCGACACCGCACCACCCGACATCCCCGACTAGAGGGGAAACACCCACATGATTAGGGCAAAATAGTGTTTAGGGGTTGCAACATTACATAGTATTGTCTTTAGTATAAATCAAACCTCTGCAGTATACACTCTGTCCAAGACAATTTACTGGCATATTATTGATCTAAGAGTGACATCATCAAACCGAAACTACGAATCTATTAAATAAAGCTATAATTCGATAGATGAAAACATTTCCGGTTACATAAGCTTATAATCATCCTATAAAATGTATTTCCAATATGAGTCATATAGCAATATCAATCGCAATAATTGCAGTTCATAAACACAGCGGCTATGTAATTGTTTCGTTGACACAGTATATTGTTGGTTGATGTTCATGTGCTCAAAATTAGTTCAAAGAATTGATGTGCCATTGGAGTACGTTAAACATTAAAATTATATTTAATTAATTATAGTTCCCTAAAAAGTTTTAATTTCTGCCAAAGCAATTAGAATCAAATTTTGTCTTACTTCTCACATAGTTAAAAAATTTACTGCGTTTTAAATTTCTAAAAATTGATTAGGTTTTGATTGAGATTTTGTGTAGGGGTGGGAGTAGGGACTATTCCAGATTAGAAGGTTCAAATATAAATTTAGGCCTAGGTTCAAGTCAGCACATAAATTAAACGAACCTCTTCCTCTAACCTTTTTTAAAAAAAAAGTTTATCAATAACTTAAATGCTAGTAATCGCGTCTTTGACTACTCCAAAGAGAAAAATGGAAACCTCAATTTCTTTTACAGATGCCTCTAGGCATTATTTTGAAGTGAAAAGATTCTAATCCGATGCTAAAACCAAACTTATAAAACCTCACAAAAATAGCAGTTGGAGCAATTACTGGAGCTTTCTCTGAGTTTTGGCAAAGGGCTCAATTTAGCTAACATTTTAGCGACGAAAATAGCGGAAAAGAAGGGCAGTGACCGCGCCCTCCGTAGTGTTTTGACAGCGAGGTTATCCCTTTGTAGTGGCCAAGCCCTTTAGGGTGGATATCCTCTCATTAATGGTTTTATTTGTAGCATTTTCACTCGCTTGTACTTAACGTTCGTAATCTATTTTCATCCTTGACTTTAATATAGTTTACTTAAAAAGATGAAAAGGTGAAAAAATGAAAAGTTTTTATTAGTTAACAAAGAAGACAGAAACTGCATAAATTACTATTTTTAAGGAGTTTGCGTTCACGTACAATAATTAACTTGTGCGTCATATTTGCTATATTGACATGATTGGTAGTTTCTTTTTAATCGTACAACTAGTGAACATCTCCTAATATATATGGCATATATATATATATATATATATATATATATATTCTTGAGGAGACCTTGATAGAGTTTATGATAAATGAAACATGAAACATTGCAAATTTTTGTTTAATACACACGTTTTCAAGCAAAGAGAAATGAATGAAAAATGTAAGAATGAACAAAAGAAATAAATATGAACTGTTTACAAATAGTTGAATTTTGAGAACATATGATTAAGTACAGATCAAAGAAAATAATGTATATATATATATATATATATATATTTAAGTCAAAACAATTTAATAACTTAGGTTGACATCAAAATTTAATAAATAGAAATATTGACACAAATTAATTTTAATAGACAAAATCGTCCGAAAAAATATTACTTTTTGGATTATATAAAGTGAAGGTTTCAAGAACGGCGTGAGTTATAAGTTATAGATTACTTGAAAACCAGCGACATGGCAGAGAACATCTTGAAATAAATGATGTTGTGGAGAGAAACCATTAATCATATTCTGGTAGAGTGACTTGGCGATCGGAGAGAAACATCAAGCGAAGTAATCTTGTGACATGAGCAGAGTGTGGGACGGGGAATTGGGGACTAGGGATAGAGAAACAAGAACAGGGACCTAGGACTGATGGAACAGGGGACTAGGGATAGAGAAACAGGGAACAGGAACATAGGACTGATGGAACAGGGGACTAGGGATAGAGAAACATGGAACAGGGACCTAGGACTGATGGAACAGGGGACTAGGGATAGAGAAACAGGGAACAGGGACATAGGACTGATGGAACAGGGGACTAGGGATAGAGAAACATGGAACAGGGACCTAGGACTGATGGAACAGGGGACTAGGGATAGAGAAACAGGGAACAGGGACATAGGACTGATGGAACAGGGGACTAGGGATAGAGAAACATGGAACAGGGACCTAGGACTGATGGAACAGGGGACTAGGGATAGAGAAACAGGGAACAGGGACATAGGACTGATGGAACAGGGGACTAGGGATAGAGAAACATGGAACAGGGACCTAGGACTGATGGAACAGGGGACTAGGGATAGAGAAACA